ACGCACGTCGGATCAGTACCCCTGTGAAGTGACGTCAGGGTCCGGTAACTCAGACCCAAGTTTCTTGTCCGACGAAGTCGCCAAACCCAAACCAGGCAGCACCCTAGCGGGGCCAACTCCAAACTTGCTTGAAGCTCCAATCTGCTGTCCAGTCGACGAGCGACATCCAGGGGGAGATCATCAGACAGCAGACTCCCGGTCTTGGTATTCAGGCGTGTGCCCCGGTGAAAACTCCCCAACAGCCGGCAGTGGGCACAGTCATGAAACTCACGGTCCTCTCCGTCCGATGGTATGGGATGAAAGGCACACCCCACAGTTCGACGATCCATTGTATACGGGGACGAACAGGCACACCCGATGCATACCGTAAATTCTAACTTTCCGCCCTCCGAATTTGTAACGATTGTTCATTCTAATTTGCATATCTAAACTGCTCGCCCCAATTGGGTTAAACTGCTCGCCCCTTGAATAGTTAAAAAGGTTTAAGACATCGTTCCAGCCACTATTTTCTTTAACCCTCCGACGCAGAAAGCCCATTTACTAACACGCTTACAGTAAGGGGTCCCTCCGGGGACCCAGATATTTAGCGCCTTGGTTTGAGGCTACACAACACTGTATCTATATGTATACAATCTCGACATGTCTGTAGACTATAAATAAGGCGGTCATTGACAGGAAACAGATGTTGTATACATAGTCTGTGGTCAAGTCGTGCTCTTGGCTACCCGCAAGTGACTTTGTTTTGTGCACGTGTATATGGGCAGCCCAGGTTGTCAGGCTCAGATATGCCTGACCCGGGGTCACACACTAAAGGTGACTGCATATATCCGTAGTGGGTGTCTCTGGCTAGGATTGGATGGAAGATCACCAGAATTGGTTGGAAATTTTTTTTTTATTAAGGTAATTAACCAAATTGGGTCCCCAAAAGGGCTAGTTTCTGCGTCGGAGGGTTAACAAGAAAACCGATATTATGTAATACAGTTTTGCATGCCACCAAATAAATAATACACTACTACAACTCTGGAATAAATATTAATTAATACATCATCTTAACACTTCCTTTGTCTCGTTTGTGCAATTTCAATTATATTTTTCTGCCATTATTATACGCTTAGACTTTTTTTAAAAAGAAAGTCTTAATGGACAATCTTAAGCTGTTATGAATTCTTCACTTCGATGGGGGGGGGGGGGGGATGTACCAACATACAACTGTAACATATTGCTGTACTTTTGTAATCCAAGTTGTCTTAAGATAATGAAATTTGCAAAACCAAATAAACAATCTGTGCAGACTCAACCGAAAAAGTGAAACAAAATTAGAAAACAAAACAGCGCCTAATCCTGTATTGGCCTAGGCTTATCTATATTTGACCTATGGGGCGCACCAAATGAGACACAAAATTAAATATGTTTACATGCCCTAAAATAAAGCACAACGCTTCCCGTATTTGCGCATGCTCAACATCCGGGTCTGTTAAGTAAACTTGGTTGTTCGCTCGTACCCCCGCCCTGCAAACAGGACGCTGGGATACTCTGATGAGCTTCACAGAATCTTGTGAAGGAAGTGACCTATGACCTACGTATAAAGCATCTGGCTGCAGCTGTTTCAGCCCATGCGCGCAAATGTTATCTGAAATCTCCCATAGAAATGCGCGCATCCCATACCGGATGAGATTGCTGTTACATTGCGGACCATGTGGAAAAAAATTTGAGCGTTGAATAATGCAATTCGACCGTTCGTGATTCGAAACGGAGCCTGAGCGAGTGACGGGAATTGTAAATTTACAACACAGATAAGTTTGACAGAATTTCCTACATTATTACGCTTTTCAAAGAGAACAAATTCTAAACTGGAATAAAAGAGTAATGAATCAGTCTTAACGTCCATTTCAAAGCTTGCAGAGTCATGAACGTGATGACACGTAGGTCACAGGTCACGCAAAATCTAACCCATCAGAGCGTGAATTCATCAGAGCATCTCAGTGTGCTGTTTGCAGGGCGGGGGTACAAGCGAAACTTGGTTGACTCTTTGCTCGTTCCCCCCGGCAAACAGGGTGCGGGGAAGTGCCGATGCCGCTTCACAAAATCTTGTGAAGGATGACAGTATGGGTAACTTATCATAACCTTCGCATGCCGCCAGCGCGCAACGTTTGATAAACAGGGGCGGTTTGTGTGCTGCAGGCTACGTCACAGGAGGTCAGCCCTTTCCAGCGTCTTGTTTGCAGGGCAGGGAGGGGGCTACCGGCGAACGTGGATTTGCGGTCGATGACATTCGTGGAGAAGCAACACTGGAGAACGCAGATGATTCCAGAGTAGCACCCATAAGAGCCGTTGAAGAACCGCTGCCGGCGTTGAAACCTTTGAAACTTGCCAATGAAGCGATCCTCGTCCCGTTGTCAAACTGGCTGAAAACACCGGGACGGTCTCCGCCGGACTAACGTTCTAGTAAATGAAGTAACGGGCCAATGCGATCGATGTCATTTCCAGTCCGTCCGATGGGCTGGTTGGCAGTACTCCTTCAGGCATGGGAAAAAGTGTCAGGTTTCTACGCACAGTCGCCACCAGTCGCAAACTGGAAGCGCTAGAACTCTTTGCCCTCTTCGGTGCTGCCTTGACGTTGCGTGACGACGGGTGCGTTGAAGATCGCTGTGCCCGGTTCACATTCATACGCGGGGAGAGAGCGCATAACAGTAGCGACAGTGTCCAGGGATTTACCATATTATATTTGGCTAGGGACTCTGCTCACTCTCCGGATTTTCATGACGATTTTTGTGAGGGATTATTTCTGATGAATTTGGGATCAACTTCATTAATTAAGGAGAGAAAGAAATAGGACAAAGAAGCTGCACCACCTGAGTTAATTGACTGCTTTATTCACATTGACTGCCTTGGATCTTCAGGGTACACACCCATCCCAGCCCTTACAGAAGCATTGATTTGTCAATTCCTACACACACAAAATATTAAGATTACACAAATTAAACATGTATAAATCTTTTACCCACTTTTAATTTTACTTTTTGATAAATTTATTACATTGAAGGAAACTGTCTGAAATTGCAGAATAGTTAACTTTTGACATTTCAAACGCTTTTACATCATACAATAATAAACAAGGTAAGCCCAATTTACCATGCCAACCTTTGAAGTAAAGAAACATTGATCTGTCTTCAAGATATTTAAAGGGGAAGTTCTTCCAAGCTATTATACAGGTCAAAGAACGTTATGCATGTAGACAATTTTTATGGCATATTTTTAAGCATCGATTATTTTTTCAACATCAATAGCTAATCATTTATTGAGAGCCTCTTTTGACCGAGTGTTTTCTTTGAAGCCAAAACAATAAGGGGTCGATAATCACATTGTTGTTTGCCAATTATTGAATTATAAAGGCGAATAAGGCGATTTGAATTGTGAAATAACACCCTACAAATCCTAAAAAAAAATCAACAGGGATGATGTATAATTTTGGCATATACATTTTTTTTAGACACAAAGGATAATGGAAACAAGTTGAGATAATGTTCGAATGTTCTAAACATGGCAAATTCAGTGTGCGGAAATCATCACCGTTAAATAGCTGCATCAACCTTTCTTTTAAAACCAAAACGTGCACGGTAGAGATAATTAAACGTACATCTTAGTCCCAAAATGAGCCGTATTCTTAAACAATTGACGGCGCTGTAACGATGCTATTTTGTAGGTATAAACAGACGTGTTTCCAAAGTAATTGACGCATGCTTGAATTCTGCTACGACTTCAAACTTACATGTTTACTATGTTAAAATGTTCGATGTTAGTTAAGTAGCTAAACTGTATCCATGAACGACATTTTGCTGGCATTTGTACCAAGAAGATGGCGTGATTACAGCGGCGCCCTCGTTGGATAAAACTATTGCCTATTGAGACGTAACTCACTTCCAACGTTGTAATAAAAAGACTTGTTTATACTTCTCTTAACAACTTGGGCACATTACTCTTCGTTCATAAAACAGAACGTATTTGTTCAAGTTTAGCCTAGTCTCAGGTGCATGCATGTTTTTCTTTCATAGTCTTTTAAAGTTTATGGTTGTGTGGCTTTAAATGCCGCACCCATCGTTAATTGGCGCCACTCGGATCCTAAAAGCTACTTACATGGTCTGCACTGCTGCAAGTACACCGATATTCCACCAATACTGGTGAGGTTGTATGTTATAACAATAACAAACAATCATCACTCTACAATATTACTAGGTCATAACTGTTTATACTTTAGATTAAGACATTGAGCAAATTGTGGCATTATTTACAGTACAGTTTCTAAGATAAAATGGAATCGTCAATTTACGTCATGGATTCATTACATTTTGTATGGGTGAGACTGGAACGTTTATTGAATATTGACAGAACCCCTTTAAAACGTCTGTGATATTTCCAAAATAAAAAAATACCGACCGTGAACTTTAACTTCAGAATAAAATTACAAATAATTTTAATAAATTTTTAGTCAATAGTATACGTAAAAAGCCTTTCGACTTTACTTCTAAGTATGTTGTCCTTCGACTAAAACCAAATGCAACACTAACGTAGAAGAAACCACTACGTTTCATTCTTCAAGTAAAACAAAATAACTATACATGTACAGACAAACACTGTAAAATAAGCCTACTAAATGAAAAACAGTGAACGTTATTTAAAGAAGAAAAATGTATCTACAGATTACGCGTGATAAGAATTAAATGTAAACAATGTATTTATCAGTTCACAGATCATTAAACAAGCTTGAAAATCATGTTTATTGGGCTGTTCGCTTGGTGATCTTAAAATCGCACTTGTTGGCAATTAGATCGCACCCTTTAATTAATGCAATTGTTACACATATCTACATCTGCCAATCCCGTACCGGAGGAAGGATTGGGTTACCCCGAAGGGGGCGGGGCGGAGCCCATTCCATCCTACCCTCTTCATCCAGACCGTCCACACTCTGCCCCTCCTCCCCCATGCTGGTAGCGTCGTCTCTGAAAAGAGGCGGGGTCTCGACAGGAGATGACATCTGGAGGTTGTTGATGTCTTCGTATTGGGTAGGAGGTACTATGCGGATGGGCTGGGCTTCCAATGGGGGTGTGTTTGTGATGCGGTCTGCATACGTATGGACCACCTGAAGCAAATGCAGCACGTAGAAAAAAAAAATGTTTTAATGCAAATATTAGAAAAATCGCATTTGAAAAAAAAAAAAAATTATTGACACCCCTATTTGTCAACACTTCAACTTGCTTAACAATTCCATTTCTGATATGGTTTTACAGGGCAAAGAATCAATTGGATATCACAAGCATGGAAAAAGTGTTGATGAAACGTCTTCGGACTATTCAACCACATGAGCTCAACATCCAGGATGAAAATGACTAAATATTTAAACTTCAGTAAAATCGAATCAGTGATATTATTTTTTACAACTTTAAGGAGTTTATTCATGACTTTTACATTGGCGGCTGGTTGTTGGTTGCCGGTAGATGGCACGTTTCTTTGCTCCTGGGGGTCAGAGAGGACAACAGTCTCCGCTGCCCTGTTGCCTGAAACAAAAAGGTGAGACAAAAAAAAAAAATCATCTAAATCGGGAATATTTTCTGTTGAGGTTCAAGGAGTGAGGCAAGCCATAAATTTTCCTCTCAAGCACGTAACGTTTTGAAGGAGATTGAAGTCTTAAAAAAAATATACAAATTAGAGATAAATAGGAAATGAAACAGATTGTATATATTAATTTTGCGGTTAATGTACATTTTATACAATTGCGTTATACAATTACAAAATGTTTGTCGTAGATATTTCCAACATTTTGTAATGATTTTAAGAAAGTCCTGAAATTGGCATCTTCGTAACACGGCCATAATTTCAAAGTGTTTAAATGGTCAAATTAGCAATTGACTTCACTGTCGTAAAGGGTAACTTCCTATGAAAGGCCTCATATCTAGCAATCACTTTGGAGCAGCTGGATCTAATTTTGTATTGTCAACTGAGAAAATATTTTTTAGAATTTAATTCTAGGAAGAAGCAATTTCCATCCTGTCACACCAAAACCAACGTGACAATAACGTTCTTTAGCGATCGGACATTATATTTCGATGCGCATTGTAACATTCCAAGGACCTCTACGTTTGATATTTCCATTCGATTTCAGTTTGGATATGGACATCCCACCCTGAAGTACAAACAGCTTTGGCACTCGGGCACAAAGCTTAGTTTACCTGATGGTCCTACGACTGTGTTCAAGCAAGGACTCACAGACGCCGTGGGCCTGTCGGGTCCAGTCCGTGTGTAGTGAACTGCAGGCCTGTAATATCATGTTAACAAAATATCGGTATAAAATAAAGCTTTCAGAGGCATACCATTGATGTTATTATGATATGTTGCTTTTGTTCACCGCCTAAATCCTGCATTCTTGCATAGGGCAGCTTCTTATATATCTTTAACATAATAAGGGTACTAATTTTACTGTCTTTCCCAGTTAAATTCTTTTCGTTTTTCGTTTATTGATATGCATGTCAGACTTATTCTGGATTTTATTCTCAAATCTATTGTCTTAATCTGAACCTTTGTCAATGTCTTTTTTTCATATACAATAAACTGTTAATGATGTATACCCGCTCATGTCTCTTTCATTTAATGATTATTCGGTTATGATTTGATATGATCTGATTTCGTATCTGTTTTGATATTTTTTATACACTTTTAAACATTTTAATAGCTAGTTTTTGTCTTGTTACTTATATTCTTTGAAATGTTATGTCCAGGGCCCCGTGGAACCCCACATTATAATTATGCGAACGGGCTACCCTGCTAATAGATCAGAAATAAATATAAAGTAACCGTCATGAGTACATTTAAAAAAAAAATAAACTCACAAGACCTGTCTTTTTGTAGGGCCGCCCTTTGCAGGGGGCTAATAGTCTTTTCAAGCAGTTTCAGTGCAATTATCTTACAACAATGAGGTTTGCACCAGATTTCATGAGATCATCGATGTTTGGTGGAGACTAAATGGTTCTGGGGGAACATACAGGCACATTAATTTCACTGTTTCCTTCGGCTTTAAAGAAGTAGTCGTTTGCAACATTGTGTCATCGGTAAGACCTGATATTTGGATTTATTCCAGCACGGAACGTTTCAAATGTGCTGCGATAATGCTTCTATAAAACGTGGGAACAGAACGTGCATACAGGTTGGATAATATCTTCCGAAATAAAGATCATCGAAATTATTTTGCAAAGACCTCTCATGTAAGTGCAAAAAGAAACTGAACTGCAGTACTAATTTACAACAACAAACTCATTGTCAAAGCAGAACCCATTTGACGACAGCAGTATTTATACTATATTTAACTCACTGGTTTCCATCGCGGGGAATGTTATCTGTAGATAAGAATAAAAAGAAATACAATCAAACCAAAAACAGAAGTCTACATTGGTTTCTGTTATTATTACCTTCATTTATCACCTGTAGTCATTTCAAAATTCGGGTTTGAACTTTCGTTTTTTTCTCCAATGTATACTTTATCCCACATAAAAAGAAACTCGTTACAAACTAAAATCACCTCCATATGCGATCTCTAAAGCTGTCACCACGAGGCCTATACAGGATAAATTTGTTTCCCGATGTAAATAAATCAAAAAAAAATAACAATTGAATTCAAAACGCAAATATGCATTCTGAACAATCAACAATACTGTTCTATATGCTAGTTTTAATCTCGACTTATTAGCATACCGCAAGAAAATTATTTCAACGTTGCTTCATGTGCTGAACTAACAGGTACAACACACTCACTGCAACTGATCTTGATGTTTGCCCTAATCTACGATCGAACCTCACCGTACCCCATACTGATCTGATCCATGTAGTGTAAAAGCACATGTGAGATTCTGATTACTCCAACATTCATTGAAAAATTATGTTAATATGTGGCGTCCCAAGTATTTGTCGCTAAGTGACACAAAAAGCATTGCAAAAAAAGGTCATGTGTAGATGCATACACTATAAAAGAAAACTTGAGGTTTCTACGTAGGTCAATATGCCAGATTGGTGACACATATCCCTATTGTTGTACGTTTATGCAAATAGTTGAACATCAACATAATTGCAGCAGTTTTCAGCAGCTACGGTGGAAAATGGCAACATGGAGGCAGATCAATAGATGTACAGCAGCTGCAGAGCGGTACATCAGCAGTATCATCAGTATATACCCTGCGCAATATGCGGCAGCTGTCACATTTGCGGCATATGCACACTACACCGTATATCAAAATAATTCCTGAGATCCTGAGAACCAACACAAAAGAGAAGAGGGTCCTCTGCCAGAATCTTGCCACATTGGTGTCAGTAACAACAGAGCAGCAGCTACTGGCTTGCAGTGTCAACGTAGTGGTTTGGTGGTACGGTGACAGTACCTAAAGTAGGGATTGCAGAAAACAGGGTTTGCAGTGAACTTACTCTTTCGGTGTCTCCAAAAGACGATGGCCGCAACAAGAATCAGCAAGAGTGCCACCGTGACACCGACCGCAATTAAGATCAACGTCAACTGACTCTGTTTTGATGGGTCTGAGAATGAATTGACAAAAACGTGTTTAATAGTCTGACAGTCGATAATGCGTTTGAAATTCCTGCCATAGTTATCAAATCACTTTAATGCCTTAAATTGACTACAAAGGCAAAATTAAAATTGATGTTCCAGTTATGGCTACGTATATCCTATTTAGTATCGCCGCAGTTGTGTTCCTTTATAAAACCTTGCTAGTGTGTGTTTAGTTTGTCGTAGTTTTTGAGCAGGGTGCTCAAATGGCTTTTAGCAAATCTGTCAGAACACATTTTGGGTAAGCTTCAATAGCTTATGGTCAATAGTCTATTGTACGTGTTTGAATTGGGATTCAAATAGGCAAAATTCATGAGTCAATTCAAACCAAGTCTTTCTTTATTTACTAATATTTATAAAAGCTGGTGTTTTTCTTTGAAGTTTTGCTTACTGAAAAGGAAAGTACAGTGTATACAATATTATTAGTTGACATCTGTGTTCTTCAGATATCCTTCCTAAAACACTTCATGGAACAAGGGTAGACACTAAAACGTTATAAAAGGTTAAACAATAACAACAATTATGGTACATATAGTATACCTGTAGGCCATCAGCTGAAACTCAAAAACCGGCTGTAAAATGAGTTTCGTTCCAGCAACACTGGGTTCTACTTTTTTAATGCACATATGTGGGGTTCAGTACATCACAAACACTATGTCAAAAGTTCTTCAGCAAATCAGCTGCAGTTTTTTTTTACACTTCATCAAAGTTTGCAATTGTTATGTACATGTATGTATGCTAAAAACCCACAGTTTCCGGATTAAATTCTGTCGGTGCTTGTTACGAAATGAGATAATATATTGTCTCAATAATACACTGTTTCAAGTAATGGCTGGTTAACATTTTCTGAAGTTAGAGTCGATTCTCATTAACACACAGACTGTCAGACCTAATATAAACTTGGTTCTTGTCTCTATATAGTTCAGTACGGAAGTAGCTCGGCGTTTTTAGTGTTGGCCTAAGTGACAGAAAGTGGACGCTGATTCTGGTGTGCTTTGAAATGAAAACTAGAACTAGAATCTTGGTCATTTATAATAATTAAATCCTAATGTAAGACCGGTCGTCATCTGGCCAACAATTTGCTGGGGCCTTGGTAGGAGGGCCGTATTGTTTTGCATTGCTTTTGATTGGATAGGACGAAAAAAAAACACTTTTTCGAAGCAACAGCCTCATTAACGACGATGGACGACAGTAATCGTATCGGTAACAAAGAAATATATTTTTTTTCACTGACAGCGATTGTTCTTTTAAACCCATCGGCACCCTTCAATGTTTTTTTCTTGAATGACGTCATACCAATTAAGCAATTTTGAAGGCTAGTTCAACATGGGCTAGAGAAAACAAAGACAAAAATACAAAGAATTGGCAGAGAGAAAAACAAAGAAGTACCTGTTTTTCCATAGTTGCCGAGCAACAAAATAACCGTAGACACCTTCCCTCCCTCCCCAGTTGCCGTGCATGTTAGATTCCCCCGCTGACCAGGCTGAAACGACGGCACGGTAAACGTGCTGCTGGTGTTATGCAATCGCGTCCCAACTACCCTCGTCTCTCCGCTTGTCTTCTTTCCAGCGAATGTCCAGGTGATTTCTGCCGGGGGTTTGGTGTCTGTGGCCAGGCAGGTGAAGCGCTGGTCGGTGCCCGGTCCGACGTTCACGTCACCGCTATAAACTTCGCCGGTAGTGGCGTTGATGATGTGCACATCTTTGGGTGGCACTGCAGAGAAGAATTACAACTTGCATCAGGACAAGACCAACAGGAACAGCATTAGCTATGAGAGAACTTTAGTAGAAAACCAGCATTCATCAGCACTCCCCAAAGTGGGTACTTCAGTTTAACATTGGCGTCTACTTGTTTGTTCAGTTCGTTTGTCATGGTTGAAAAAGGACCGGGACCTGCCTAATCCACGATAGCAGTCTTGCCCATGCATCATATGAAGTGACAGCGTCAAAACAGTGAAGTGGTTCTGAGAACGCCCGGCCGGGTAAATTCAACGATACGGCCAGTATGCAGCTCCGTAGAAATACCTCCTATGTTCTTGCTACATTTGATAAGAAACAGAGATACCGGTCAGATTTTGGAACACACAGATCAGACGTCCAGTTAACGCCTCCTTCGAGAACCACTGCTGTGTTGAAAAAAAGTTAATTTTTCATAGCAATCCATGGAAAGCCTCTATCGACTTTTTAGACGACTAATGTAGCTTAGAAAGCGGAAACGGGGAAGGGGGACCCTCATAAATCTGGTGCACGCGTTTACATTGGAAGCACGTTTATTGGAGGCACGCGTGCACACCGTCAAGTTTTAAACACATTTTAATTGTATGTGCCGATGACGTCACACAATGCGTCGCTTTGCTCACTAAATGAAAAAACCCTCCAAATTGAACAAAGTTTATCCCGAGATAATCGCATTTGAAGTTATTCATTACTCATTAAAAGACATTTTCGACCACTTCGCAGTAGCAACTATCGAACATTTTTCCTTTTTTCGGTAGCTTATGATTTGGTCTTCCCTTAATAATAGTTATTTCAAAAAATATCTCTTAATCAGACCAAGTACACAAAGAAAATTTCGCGTCCTGCTTTTTGGAACTTGAAAAAGGAAGAAAGAGGCCTTTTGTTCCCCTTCAAAATGGCCGCCCGACCGGGCTATTTGTCAAGATGGCCGCCGTTTTATTTTTTTTTTTAATGGCCGCCACTTTGACTCAGGAAATGACATAACAGCTTTATATGGGCTAGATGCAACAAACGAAGAGGCCAAAATGATGTCACTGTTTAAAATTTTTTTTTTTTTTTTAACTAGGCATCCTCCCAAAAGGAAGCAGG